ATCAAAGCGGGGTCAGCATCATTAAAAATAACTTGTGAAGCAGATTGTGTTGCTTCTTTGATTTGCTGTAATATCCAAATATGTACTTTAACCTGTAATATTTAATAAAGTATACTTAAATGTGTAAAAATATATATAATAATAATAATATAAAATATATAATAAGGAGGTTGATAAATCATACCACTGGTGCCAACACCATACTTATAATTTTAACTAATCAAATTTGTTAAATAAAAAAATACAATACACAATATAAATAAATATAAAACAGTAATTTTTTAAAATTAAAGGAGTTTTTATTAAGGTAAGGCTTGTTGGGCCTCTAACTAAAATTGTAAAAAAGGTTTTTCTGGTTCTAATGGTGGTTAGATCATTAAAATTGGCAAATTGGTGGTTACACAAAGTATTATAGTCCTTGGTGCTTTGTGTAACCACCAATTTGCATATCTTGAGATCTACCAGGCCAATTTTAATGATCTAACTACCATTAGAACCAGAAAAACCTTTTCTACAACTTTACTTAGAGGCCCAACTAACTCTAACTTAATAAAAACTCCTTTAATTTTAAAAATTAATTTTTTTTATATTTATTTATAGGAAATATTGTTATAGCGCTATAGCATTATAGTGCTATAGCACTGTGATGTGACCCTTATCTCATATGGTGTAATAATAAAATAGTTTAATAAATTAATATTATAATATTAAGGATATTTTTAACTTGTGCCAGTGGTTAAGAATAACTACTATGCTATATCTCGAAAACTGTACTATGAAACAGGGTCGGGTAGGTTAAGTAAAAATGTTCAGAACCCCTGAAAACTTCATGAGAACTAAGATCGGGACCTAATACCCGATCCATATTATGTTATTTAAAAAATTATTTTATATAAAAACCTCTATTTATTTTAAAGCTACACCCTAACCCTAAGTTTTAATTAAGGTGGTTATTTCTAACCAATGGCACAGGTTATAATAATTCAATATTAAAGTAAAAAAAAATATTTCTAACTTTTATTTACTTTTGCTTGGCTATTTTCGCCTAACCACTTTTGCTTGACCACTTTTGCATGATCACTTTCACTTGATCAATTTCGATTGACCATTTCATGTAACCACCCTCGTTTAACTATGTTCGCATGACCATTTTCACTTGACTACTTTTGCGTAACCATTTTTGCTTAACTATTTATACCTGTTATTACTTATAGTTGATTTATATTGCTTACGTTTGATACAAATTACATTTGATATCACTGATATCACTTACGCTCAATACAATATATGTTTAATACCACTTATACTTGATACCACTTAAAATAACTTACATTTGATATAACTTACACTTAATACAACGTACGTTTAAAACCACTTACACTTGATACCAATTAATATAACTTATATTTGATAGAGATACAAGAAAATCAAGCGCATATGATGTTTCATGATTGGAGTAGTGCGGTAAATAAAGTTAATGTTAGTAATGATGGACAGTATAATATAATGAATCCTAAAAGTACCTACCACAAACTTCTAGCGAATATAATGCTTCCTGGATGGAATAATACGGTTAACGGGGTCAATACACTATATAAAAATAATCAATTTGAATTTGATCTTGGGAATCAAAATAACAATAATTTTGTAGTAAATTCAAAGGCTTACTAGGAAGAATTTCAGGTGGATGATAAACTTGACACACTATATAATAGTAATCACGCTGAACATAACATTAGTAATAATATGTTACATCAAAATACATATGAAAGGAACAATATAGGGAATTTTGAGTGCAATCAACACTATGAGTTACAAGAGGGTATGGCGTTTCTTGACTGGAATCATGCTATGAGTGAAATTAAAAAGTATGAAAAAAAACAAGGGTTTAAGACACATTGTTATCGTATTGAAAAGCTTATAACCTGAAATGACAAAAGTAAAGATCTAAAAAAAGAGACAACAACTAAGCAGATTGGGTGTACGTGGCAAATAAATCTGTTGTATCCTAAGAAAGAAAATCATAACAAAATTGTATATATTGCAAAATTAGTTAATGAACATAAAAATCATGATCTTAACCAAGCTCGCTACAATTTTCAGAAAAATATAGTATTCACAAAGGAGATGACTGATGATATTGAGTTCTTTGTAACAAAGATGAATTGTAGCCCCCAACAAATTCGTAAAACTCTTGAAAAGAAATATTTTGTAAAAGTCTATATGCCAATACTATGACAAGTAATTCAACGATTTCGCTTAAAATTATGGGATCAGACAAATGATGCTAGTAAATTGTATCAAGAATTGTTGAATAAGAAAGAAGCTGATCCCCGATGATATGTTCAGGTAGATTGGGACCCTAATAGTAAATGTCTTCGATGAGTATTCTATATGTCTCCTGATCAAATTGAACGATGGTTAGAATTTGGCAATGTTGTTCTAAATGATAATACAAGCGCAACTAATCATTATGAGATGGCATTGTTACTTTTTTTGGTGGTTGATAATCATCTATCTTCTCGACTGGTAGCCCAGGCATTAACAGATGATGAAACAAAAGAGGTACATAAATGGATATTACAGCAAATCAAAGAAGCAACACAATCTGCTTCACAAGTTATTTTTAATGATGCTGACCCCGCTTTGAT